TATATATATATATATATATATATATATACACAAGTGTAGAAAAGTTGTCAGAAAATATCTTTAAGTACAGACTTATTTTACAACTATATCCAACGTTAATGCAACTGCATTTTTTAAAACAAATTCCTCTAATACCTCTGTTACTTAGAATCTGTTCTAATTTATAAATCTTTTATTCAAAAATGAAATGTGTTCTAAAGAAAATTGTATCAAAAATTTTCAGAATTGAATACTTTCTCAGATTTGTTACTGACACAGGAATCTTACTATGTCTCCTGCCTTTCTGTCAACTTTAAGCGCTTCTTTCCTGATACTATTCTAGTTGAAATGTTAAAAATATTCACAGAAAATAATTCAAATCATATTTAACTAAACTTGTATTCATGATGCCACAGAAAAGTGATGATACCACAGAGAAGTAACAAATCTTCTGTCCTAACTTTAAACTGGTAATCTAACTTCATTATTGCTGTGGCAATGCCTGTGGTCCTCAATTTTATTCCCAGCATTACAAAAATGCAGTTACCTGAAACTTTTATTATCGTGTCATTATACCTACAGCATCAATATAAAATGTATTGTTTATGACTTATACTAGGTGATAGTGTTTTCCTAAAGATGGAAGCAATCCTAACAAATCATTATTCAAAATAGAAAGTTCATATATAGCTGTCCATCTCTCGACATAACTTGCCTTTGTTCTGGAATTATTTACACACCTTTAAATAAAGCACTTAGAGAAATTAGAAACTTAGACACAAACTAAATGTATTTCAGGTATACTATCCTAGATAAAATTAACAAGCCTCATTTATCAATACCAAATACTAATCTGAACTTTGACTACAGAGACAGTGTTATATATATTGCATATTGCTTTAACAATAATGTGGAGACACATAAATCCAGGACTGTTTATATAAGTGTTATTTATAAAAGCAAGGAAATGTAGATATATATTATGTCACATAAATATTAATAAAGGAACTTATAAACAAACAAATATCTCAGTGATCATAGTAATGCCTTAAAATGCCATATGATAAATGTTACAAATAATTTGCATTTGGTATTTATTATTTTAGGAATTGTACTGTATTTCAGAAGCACACAAGACATAATACCTATAGATTGCATCATTTTAAGGAGAAAGAGGAAGCAGAAAAGAGAAATAAGAAACTGAAATATCTTATTTATTGAAGAATACAGACTAGTAGTCTGTCACAAAAGTGCTGGAATCAAACAGGTTTTCATATGTTGACTTTTACATTTACTAGCTGTGTAATCATTAAGTCACTACATTTTCTGAGCTTCAGTTCCCTTATTTTAAAACATGGCAAAGAAAATAGAACCAAAATTATAAATTTATGGTGATTTAAATTTCTATAAAATTTTAGCATTTGAAGTGATTAACAGCCTTATAGCCTCATGACACAAATAGGCATTTGATCAATAATAGCTGTTGTAAGCACTGTTTATTTTACAAATGAAATGTGTGTTAATATGCATAGCCAAATAAGCTGAAAGTTTCTAAATTTTTTAGCCTATTTTCTTCTATCACAAAATCATGCCATGAAGTCCTTTTTTGTTTGTTTGTTTTTGGTACCGGGGATCGAACTTGGGCCCTTGCTCTTTTGAGGCAGGCAGTGAAACCACTCATCCAGGTCCCCGGCCCATGAAGTCTTAATAAAACCATGCCATGAAGGCATAATACCATTTTTCCAAGCTAGAATTCAAAAACAGAAATAAACCACATTTCTGTTAATGTTAAGTTAGAGGAATCTGTGGTCAATTATTCTCCAGTGACATCACTTAGAATTATGAAGTCATCAGCATTCTTTTCGATAGATTACTCCCCATCCACCAGCCCCCTCACCCTTCTCTGGATATCGCTTACACATGGGAAGAAGCATTGAATGTGGTGGGCACCGGGCTGCAGCAGCTGAATTGCCCAGACATGACAGATTCAGAATTTCTGTGCTTGGATTATGTGCACTTGAGGTAATTTTATAAAAGATGGTGAGGGCTGAGGAAAGAGGGAGAAGGGTGTTAATAAGGGAGCTCCTACAATCTGCTATGACGATTCTAAAAATTTAACTCAGGCCCCACAAGAACCACCATATGCCTTCCACCATTCAACAAACACATGTTTTTCTGGGGAGTACAGGGTGTAAGTAGCTTTTTGTTTGTTTGTTTGTTTGTTTGTTTCCAGCCAACACCTACCAGATCATGTATAATTGCATAATCGTGCCTGCCCTTGATGGACCTGTGGGCAGAATGGCTGCCCTGAAACTACAAAGCAAATATTAAGATCTGCCTTCCAGTCTTCCAAGCTCATGCCCCAGTTATCTCTACCCACACAATTGTATCCATGTTGTTTCACTGCAAAGTTATTCTTCATAATCAGTTACTGGAAAACCTGCATATTTCTCAGGCCCTTGCCCCAAGGCCCCAGAAGTCCTCCGTTGACTATGAGCCTGGGACTGACAGTGTGGCCGATACTTTTCCTTCCTGGAGAAGAAAGGTCTCACCTGCCTTGTGGGAACTATTCTCCTCCTTTCAACCATATCCATGCTCTAAAGTTCAAGGGAATTCAGGGTCATAGACCAAACTTCTGGTCACCGTTAACCTCCACACCACCACATCACATCCACTGCAGCCTTCTGAAAGGTTTCAGGCTGCTTTTGACCAAAGCTTGCACTACCCTACCACCGCTGAGAGAGGGATCTAGGAGTGTGTGCTTGGGAAGACACCTGTCAGCCACATATCTATAGCTATAGCTATCTAGCTATACCTATCTAGATCTGTGTCTATATATACATCGCTCTCAGGGAAGGGGAGTCTGACACGCAAGGGTCTCCCAGTACTGTATCAAGTGCACATTTGCTTTTTCCTTTATACACAGAGGATCATGGTCAAGGCTTCTTCTAGGCTCTTGCTTGACTATATTTCAAGTTTTAGGTTTTTTTCAAGTAGGGAATTTAAGGCTATTTGGCTGCTGCGGTGAGGCTGCTAAATGGCTCCTTGCAGATGCTAGAAATCCTGGAGCACAATTCTCCAGGAATCACCCCAGAGGCTCAAGGGTCCACACCCCGTCCCCATTGCCCCACCCAACTTTCTCCCCACCCCACCCCCACCACAGCAGGCTCTGCCCAGCACCAGGGCACACCCACACTCCCTCCTGCCTTTTCTACCGCCTCCTCCACTCCTACTCATGACCCCGCGTCATCTTCACCCCTCACAGACTTCCCTGCCTCCACTAAGACAAACGCACTTCCTGCCCCAGCTTAAGTCTGAGGCGCCAGCCTTGCCGCCTCTCTCCGCCAGTCCTCCGCTCCCTCCAGCCTCGCGTTCCTCCCCCAGACCTGCCGCCATCCTCTTCTCTGTTGCCTGTGCAGCCAAGACTCCGTCTTTTAGGCGGCCCACCGTCGCCTCCTCCCTCCTGGCTCTCCAGACCTAGCTCTTCCAGCTGACAGGGAGACATCACTATCTCCGCTGCCTCCGCGCCAACGCGGGTGCCACGCGCTTTCGTCGCCAACGCTGCAGCAGCACCGCCGCTGTTCTGAGGCCCATCATGATCCCGCTGCTAACAGGTAGCAGGAAGCGGAAAGCGCCCGTTGTCGAGGCGGGGGCCGGGTGCTCGTCGTCGCAGAGCTTAGCGACAGCTGAGCAAGGAGAGGGGCTCGGGATGTCCAAGAAGCAGAAGGGGCTGGCGGAGAGTCGCTCCGTGGTGCACTACCTGAAGGGCCGCGAGCTGTGCGCAGGGGGGTGCCCCAACCTCCGGAGCTTCGAGGTCGAGCTGCGAGCCTACGCGGTGCAGAAACTGCCTGAGCTGCTGACCGAGCGCCAGCTGTCCCTGGGCACCCTCAACAAGGTGTTCGCTTCGCAGTGGCTGAACGCCAGGCAGGTGGTGTGCGGCACCAAGTGCAACACCCTCTTCGTGGTGGACGTGCAGACGGGCCATATCACGCACATCCCCTTGATGCAGGACAAGGTTCCTGGGGTAGCCCGCCCAGAGATGGCCTCAGGCATCCACTCCATCCAGCTGAATCCCTCCAAGACTCTGCTGGCCACTGGGGGCGAAAACCCTAACAGCTTAGCAATCTACAAGCTGCCCACCCTAGACCCGGTGTGCCTGGGTGACCGATATGGCCACAAGGACTGGATCTTTTCCATCGCATGGATGAATGACACTGTAGCTGTGAGTGGCTCTCGTGACGGCACCATGGCATTATGGCAAGTGGATCCTAACGTGATAAGTGGCAGCACTGCCTGGCACAATGATGGCAGAATTCCAGCGTATGCCCACATCCGTCCGAGGGACATTGAATTGATTCCCAGAGCCAGCACCAACCCTGGTAATCGGAAAGTGCGAGCCCTGGCATTCAGTGGCAAGAACCAGGAACTGGGAGCAGTGTCCTTGGACGGTTATTTTCACCTGTGGAAAGCCCAGAGCAATCTGTTCAGACTGTTGTCTATAAGGCTGCCCTACTGTCGAGAGAACGTGTGCCTGACCTACTGTGATGACTTATCCCTGTACGCTGTAGGCTCCCAATCACATGTGTCTTTCCTGGATCCACGCCAGCACCAGCAGAACATCCGGCCCCTGTGCTCCCGAGACGGTGGCACAGGGGTGCGTTCGCTGAGTTTCTACCAGTACATTGTGACTGTGGGCACAGGCCATAGCTCCCTGATCTTCTATGACATCCGTGCACAGAAGTTCCTGGAGGAGAGGTCCGCTCCCGGCTTGAATGCCTGTCCGGGCTATGTAGGGAGGAAGCTCAAACTCACCTGTGGCAGAGGCTGGCTCAACCATGATGACCTCTGGGTGAACTACTTCGGTGGCATTGAGGAGTTCCCCAATGCACTCTACACCCACTGCTACAACTGGCCTGAGATGAAGCTTTTCGTGGCAGGAGGGCCTCTCCCTTCTGGCCTCCATGGGAACTACGCAGGCCTCTGGAGCTAAGGATCGCAGCTTCATTCTCAAAGTGAACAAATTTGTCTTTCTTTTCAATTTAACTTTCTCCACTTTTCATTTATACTCATAGCTCTCTATGTCATTTATCTTCCAGGTGGAACTGACTTAACCTACCTGTATTTATTGTATTAGGAGAGACAGAGAGA